TTCTGCTGTGCATGGGGTCGCTATGAGTCGGAAACGACTCGACGGCACTTAACAACAACAACAACATAAGAAATCATAGGAGCTCTGATGGCATAGTGCCTAAGGCATTTAACAGCCAACCAGAAAGCTAGCGGTTCAAACCCAACAGCCACTTCTCAGAAGAAGATTGGGCAATCTACTTCCGTAGCAATACCGCCTCTTGGAAACCCAAGGAGGCGTCACTATGAGTGGAATCGACTCAACGGCAGTGGGTTTGGTTTGGTTTATAGGAAATCCTAATCTGCGACACACAGATGACAGAACCTTGCTTGCTGAAAGTGAAGATGACTTGAAACACTGATGAAGATCAAAGATTACAGTCATCAGTATAGATTATACCTCAACATAAAGAAAACAAAAATCCTCATAACTGGACCAATAAGCTATATCACTATAAATGAAGAAAAGATTGAGGTTGTAAGGGATTTCATTTTACTAGGATCCATAATCAACACCCATGGAAGCAACAATCAAGAAATCAGAAGACATCTTACCCAGAAGACTGGGAAAATCTGCTACAAAACACAACTTTAAAGTGTTAAGAAGCCAAGATGCCACTTTGAAGACTAAGGTGCACCTTACCCAAGCCATGATATTTTCAATAGTCTCATATGCATGTGAAAACTGGACAATGAATAAGGAAGACTGAAGAAGAGTTGATACTTTTGAATTGTGGTGTTGGTGAAGAATACTGAAAGTTCCATGGACTGCTAGAAGAATGAACAAATCTGTCCTGGAAGAAATGCAGCCAGAATGCTCTTTGGAAGTGAAAATGTCCAGACTTACTTTCACCTACTTTGGTCATGTTGTCAGAAGGGACCATTCCCTGGAGAAGGATATCATGTTTGGTGAAGTGGAGGGTCAGAGAGAACGGGAAAGACTTGGAATTAATACTAATAATTCTCCTATCAAACCAGTACATGAATTTTACCATGTGCTTGATTTAACCTGAACTATGTCCCAGGAGAAGGGTATCATGTTTGGTGAATTAGAGGGACAGTGAAAATGGGAAGATCTTCCATGAGATGGACTGACACAGTGGCTGCAACAATGGGCTTGGACATGGCAAAGACTATAAGGATTGCACAGGACTGGATAACGTTTTGTTCTGTGGTACATAGGGTCACTAGGAGTCAGGGATGACAGCACTTAACAACAACAACATAGGAAATTTGAAAATCATATGCTATTTCTGATATAATCTATACCACAGAAAAGACTCCATAATATTTTCATATTCATCTAGTTATTACTATTTTATTGTTTGTTTGTAGCCTAACATTTTTGGGGGCCAAATGCCTATGGCATTAGACAGCTAATCAGAAGGCTGAAAGTTCAAATCCACCAGCCACTTCTCAGAAGGAAGGTTAGGCAATCTACTTCCATAGTGATACCACCTCAGAAACCCAAGGAGGGGTCGCTATGAGTCAGATCCAACTCGACAGCAGTGTGTTTGGTTTGGTTTTTGAAACAGAAGAAAGAAATAGCCAATACAAAAATGTGTGTATTTGTATAATAGTAATAGAATGAAATGTCATCGCTGTTCTGGAGAGAAGATTTCATGAAGTATCTTAAGACATTTTGTAGGATGCAAATCTTAATTTCTTGATTTTTCAATATCATGATAAATAAAAATAAACAATGATTTTTTTCCCTGACAACTAATGTTACATTAAATTATATACTTATAAAATAATTAAATAAATCAACAATTGAAATGGTCTTCTCCTTGTTTCTGGCAAGGGTTACCTCCTAGTTGAGTCTGGGGACCCCTATGTGGGTAGGTACATACCACAACTCCAAATTGTTCAGGCTCACAAAGGTCATCATATTCGTTCTTAAGCTGTGCTAATTCATTGAGTACCTTCTGCTCAGGAAGATGTTTTACAAGGTTCTAAAAAGAAATAAAATTATAAAAGTTTAGAATTTATTATTAAGGTAATAAATTAAACATGCATTAACAGCTCCAAAAGTGATTAACTAGGATAGTAGATAACTTTCTGATTGTGGTTCTGTTAGAGTACAAATATATCATCCCACCTACCAGAAAATGAAGCTAAAATGAATTACAATTAAATGTGAATCAAGTGTATAAAACTATTTCATTTCTATGCATTATAGTACACAAATGTTAAATAAAAAAACCACAGCGGGATAAAAGTATTCTAAAACTGACTAATCTTCTGGCCTTAAACATATAGCATAACAATTTAAGCTTTATTTCTGGTCATGATAGTCAATCAATCCAAATGGCAAACAAAAAAATACTATAATTAGCTCACAAACAATACTACTACAAAGAAAAACACATCAACTACACTGTGTAGTTTTGTAAAACTTGGAACCACACCTGGTCTGTACATAAATCTCCCATCATTTACAATGTTTGCATTTATATACGGAATACATTCCTACTTTCAATGTAGAATTAAGCAAAAATGATGAGGTCAAACGCATGTTTGAACCAACATTTTGAGGACTCATAGAGTAGTTTATAAAGCATTCAGTTACCAACAAAAAGGTCGGTGGTTTGAACCCACTGCCCCACCAGATGCTCCAAGGTGAAAAGGTGAAGCAGTCTGTTTTCATAAAGATTTAAAGCATTGGAAACCCTATGGAGCAGTTACACTCTGTACTCTAGGGTCACTGTAAGTCGGAACTGACTCAGTGAGAGTGAGTTTGGATTGATTTTAGGTCATGGGATTTCAGTAGACATGTAAAAGGTAGGTAAATGGGGAAAAAAGTGTTAAGAAATAGGGCAGGCAACTTATAGCAGACTTTCCATGAAGGATATATGTGTCCTGCCTCACTATAGTTGCAGTTTTGCTGTCCTCCATTTATTGTTTGTCTCCTCCCACACCATCATGCCATTTTCATTCAGTTTTAGGCCAGAAATGACACCCAAAGCCTGAATGTTTTAAAATATCATGTCCTTTGATTCAAAAGAAGTACAGATACAGATACAACCACATGTAGGAATAATTGGTTGAAACTAAGAACATCCATTATTTTTCTTAATTAATCTAATTTCTTTTTATAGAATGAAAGGCTAAGACTGAATTATTAGTTCTACTTTTCCAGAAAAATTTTAATAGGTGGAAATTATTCATTTTTTAATTCTTTTCTGTTAATGGGATTTTTGAGGAAGTATATTATTAAGAGAAACAAAGACTCAATTTGATAACTTGAAAGCAACTCAATTTGAAAGATTATGAAACATTATTAAAATTATTAAAAATAAAATAAAATCTACATATGTCAAACTCAATCTCAACTGTAAGATTTTACTTTGTAAAGGTAAATATTAATCAAGTCTAAAGTATAATTTTAATGCAGAATGTAAAACTTGTTATTTTGTTTATCTTTTAACAGGTAACCTGTTAATTCATCTCCAGAATATACGCTCCAAAGTGGTGGGTGACATATCTTTTCATTCTGTTTAGCTACATGAAGTATTTAACACACTCAGTGGGTCTTGGATATATTCTGAGTACCATTTTATGAGTGAGAGATGAGCTTAAATAACAATACTCAAGATGTTCTATTTGCAAATAAGATTTGGAATAAAACCCACACTTTCAAATGTGTGGCGGTTCCAGATCACTATTATTGTACTTATTGCTTTCATGAATCCATTACTCCCAGAGTCCCACATTGCATGTTGTTATGGTAGCCTAAAGGTACCTGATTTTTCTTTCATATACATAGTAAACTATGTAGACAAGGAAGTTGTTCTGGTTACCTAGCACTGCTCTGACAAGAATATACCACAAATGGGATGCTTGAACAAACAAGAGTTTATTCTCTTACAGTTTGGAGTCTTTAAGTTCAAGTTCAACTTGCCAGGCTCTAGGAGCTGAGTGAAAGCCCCTTGACCTTGGGCTTTAGCTCTGCCTATTGTTCCTAGCCCACTGAAGCTAGAGTCATCTCTTTACTCAGGCAGCTAATGGCTGCTGAGGCTAACAAGCCCAAGGTCAACAAATAAAATGGCATAGGCCTGATGTTACCAAATCACACGGCAGGCCATTTATTCAAGTCCATTGTAAGTCCCCAGGTCAGCAGAGCATGGCAGGCTGCTGAACAATGGCACAGCTACATGCAGGGTTCAAGTGTGTCATAAGCTAGAGACCATTCCCAAAGCTGTTTCTTATATACGGGAAGCAGACCACATACCCAAAGCAGCTAGCTACCCAACTTCTCACAATAGATTCCACCATGGTGTCGATTACCAGTGTCATCATGGGGAATATTACATCTAGCTGCCCAGACACTCAACTAGGCCCAACAAAGTTGACACACAAACTTGACCACACAGATGTAGTGTAAGACCGGACAATAATATGTTTGCAGGGCCATACATTTCTGAATAGAAGGAGAACAAGAAGATATAGAGGGGAAAAAAGAAATACAGTTAATTATTTCTACCATTCTTTACCTACTCACCAAAAATAACAAAAGAAAGTAGAAAAAAATAATACAGGAGTTCAAGGCACAGCATGAAACTAATGTGTACAGTCCTAGGAATTGGCCTGAAGTCTGGTGGACTAAGGGGCCTCCTTGGGAAAAAAAAAAAAAAAAAAACTCTCCTACTAAAACAAGAGAACCAAACAGGTTTGATACAGATTTTTTTAAAAAAAAGCTTCTAATTTGGAAACAGAGTGATTCCAAATGCAGCATATTTGTTCCTTCCATGTGTCTCCAGTTCCAGCCTACCCAACCCACCATGGGCAAATGTCAGAGTCCTATAGGGAAGGGTGGTGGTTTGAAGAGTACTGCCTTGGTACTCCTCTAATCAAATGTGTTACAAAAAAAAGGAGAGGGGGGAAGTAGGACATTTGTCTCTATTTTGACACAGAACACCTTTCACCCTTAGCACCTGGAGAATTTCAGTACATCATCAGCTATACTCAACAGGAAACTGCCATCTCACTCTCCATCCCACACACAATGGTGGCTAGTAGACAATGTCAAAACATGTGCAAAAATCTCACAGCTGATACATGGAAGCTGACAAAATTAGCTCCTGTGATGTCTAAGATAGACTTCTAGAAACATGTAATGTAGGGGTTTCAGGAGAGTCCTGCAACAGCAGCTAAAAGCAAGAGCAATAAAAAATACAAGTGAATTGATGTGGATCAGGACTGTGGTTTCACTAAATTCTTATTGTCCAAGGACTCTGTACTTCGAAAATTTTATATAGCTTGTGAATATAGGTGCCTCATTGATACTACAATTGCTTGTGTTCTCCAAATATAATGGAAAGATGTATTGATAGTTCAGACACCTTCTAAGCTATATGTGAAAGGGTTTTCATAATAGAAGAGGCTACGCATTATAAATTTTTAAGCACAATTTACACTGTGACAAACTATAGATTGTTAGGCAAATATCCTAGAAAATTTCAAGGCACAAGGCGTTCTGTTTCTCCGTCCCCCTGCTGTTGCTTACTACTGAGCCTCTTCTTTCAAATATTTCAGGGTTTGTATTTAAAATATCAATTCTGGGTCAGTATGAAAGTTTCATCCTAGAAAATGTCAGTGAGCTGAAGTTCATGGAGAAAACAACAAAGGAAAAAGCAGCAACTATGTCACCAAATGAGCAGATTTTTTTCTTTATCTTTTATGCATCACAAAATCACTTTCTGATGAGTGTCACAGTTATCTGAAGGAATTTCTCCTAACAGATTGCAGGCTTTTAACTACTTTTAAATTTCTGCAATTGCTCTATAATACTTCCAAAACTTTATTTCCTTTAAATGTTAATTGCACACTTAAAGGTTAGTTAAGTGAACCTATTGAACCATAATGCCCTTTCCTTCTTGCCAAAACATAACCTTTCTTTTTTGTCCTATATCTCATTAAGTCATTTTAGCACTAAGAAAGCTGAAGTAGGTTCACTGTGATTAAGACCATCATTTCAAATATGAATGGACTGGAGCCAATATTTCTTTTTATAAATACATACAATATTATTTTCTTATATATTGACAAATATCTAATATTTTAATCCAGATAAGAAACATTTTCTCCCAAAGTCTTAGCTAAATCTCCATAATCTTTATACCAACTCTCCTCATTTTGCCTGGTTAGAAATCTTGATCTCTTAACTATTATAAATTATCATGCCATATTTCTAAACAGTTTCATGTGGTATAGTTATTAAATTGTTGTGTGGGTTTTTAGTGTTCTTAAATCACATTCATGTTGTCATCGTCTTTTATTTTGACTTAAATGGTAAACACTTTGATGCCAGAGATTGGCTCTAGATTTATTTCATATTTCATTCATCCATTCAGTCAATATGTGACTGCCAGCACGTTACCCACTGGAGATTACAGTTAACCACAAATTATGTTAACTGCAGCAATTACAGGTGCAACAGGGGTGTGAATACTTCTGTTTACAGAGTGGAAAGAAATGATTGACATTAATCTGTGTGACATTTGATCCAAAATATATTTCCTATCAGGGGGTCATGGTACAATTTTTTCCTTTTGGTCTGAGATTACTACCATTTCTGTAACTCTTAAATTGGATTCCAAGAATCTATTGAAGTGTGGTAAAATGCTGACTAATGGGGCTGAAACATTCAGAGAGCACTTCTCTAGCCTTCTACATGGAGCTACCACTTTGAAATAGCATTAGTTAATAAAATTAAACACAAGCATTGCAAATCTGATAAGAAAATTCTTGAAGTATATCAATTGTTTCACACAAACAGGAATCCTTTTACAGGTTTGTTGTTGTTATATGCCCTTGAGTTGGACCTACTCATAGTGACCCCACCTTGGGTTTCCCAGGCAGTTATCACTATGGAAGTAGATTGCCCCACCTTCCTTAATCTCTAACTAGGCCAAGCAGGGAAACTTTTCCTAAAGAAATTATTCTAAATTCT